TTAAAAGATAAATGACTAAATCAATAAAGCACTAATTTTATTAATAATTACTTAGTAATAGTTCAGTAATATATATTTAAAATGCACTTATCAAGAGATGTTATATATTATGAAGGTCCATTTTTTCATGTACGTCATTTGTAACTGTAAGAAATTTTTTTTCCCGTTACTTATACATTCCATTTGATTTTTTAAGTAATTAATAAAAACCAAACCAGATCGATGGTTCCAAAATGTTTAGATATGTTTACAAAATATGCACATGTGCATAAGAATATCGTGAAAATAAACACTTTTAATTAGTTAAGCAGAAACCTTTTTCACACACACACAGAAAAAAAAGAACAAAAAAAAAACTTAAACTAAACCCTTAAATTAACCTAATAACCCCAAGGATAAATTCCTATTGTTAATTAGCAAAATTTCCTAATGGCGTAAAATTTAAAAAAGTCCTATTTTCTCACCTTTCATTTAGAGTATGTTTCTATAATTAATTAACTTAAACGTTTAATAGTAGTTAACATCTGTTTAAACAAAAATCAAAAGGGTCTACAATGAGGTGAGTTGTTTGTCTCTCCTGAAACCAATATTAATTATTTTCAACTTTTTGAAGCCACTATTAGAAAATTTAAGCATATAATGATGATCGTTAGCAACTTAATTAGTGACATTCACTTGAGTGGTGTTGTCACGTAAACGAGCATCGTCATAAGCATTTTGAGCACTGTGTGGAATTGTCGGTATCATGAACTTTGATTACGCCATCAAATTTAGGACATGATATATACATACATATATCTTTTAAGTAGGAGTATTTGATATGTGTGCATATGTATGTGTATAAATTTAAGGATAACATTCAATTCCAAAATTTGCCGGTAAATATGAATCTCCTAAATGTTAACATGAGAAGCCAAATCAAAATTGTCAAATAATTGCGATTCCAAGCATCAAATAATAAGGTGTGTGGTATAGTCTATATATTGACAATGCATGGTTTAGTTAAGAGATTGTAAGTAGTATAGGATTTGTGTAAACTCTAAACTCTGATAACCATCAATTTTAAAATAATTTTTCATCAACCAAAACTCCCCAAAACAAAAAATTAAGAGAGATGTATAGGATTATATATTAGTGCAGATGTATTTCTATTCTGATTTATCATAGATTGTTTAATTGAAAGAAACAAAAAAAAAAGAAGATTATTATATACAATGGTTAGCTTTAACTAACTAAATGCACTAACCAAATTTCTTAGAAGGATTCGCAACTTCCCACTTGACCCTTCCTCCTTCTCAAGGAACACATACAAACAAAAACAAACCAAAAAAAAAGAAAGAGGAAAAAATTTTAAGTAAATATCAGTACAATTAGGACCAAGCATAAATGTAAGTGGAAATCTAGGAAAAATCCACTTTGTGAATAGAGTAAAGGGTTTTTCGAATTTCTAGATATTATAATTTACTGACATCAGCTGCATATATTATTCATTTCATTTTATATATTTATACGAAAAATAATGGGATATGATCTCATTCAAATAACAGTTATATATATATATATATATATATATATATATATTATTTTTTCACTAAATATATAAATGTACTCTTCTCGTCTAGTCTACGAAAATAGAAAATGAAATGTTGGTGAACAAAAAAATCACTAGATAGATCATCACTTTTTTTTTTTGTTAAACTAGTTCATCACATACCATCCAACTTTAATGTTCTTCTATTGTAATCCAGCTTAGTATTATATAATTAGAGAGCAAAATTTATATAAAAAAGTAACCAATGTTAGGTTGGGATTTCTCTTTGCTTTAGTTTTGGCCGCATGATATAAAGTTGAAATTTAGTTATTTAGTAGTATAGTATTATATGGTACAAAGAAAAAAAAAAGTAATACTAATGAATTAAGAGGAGTAAACGTAGAGGATAATGGTGAGATCTAAAGTCTAAATAAACTTTAATAAATGGGAAACGAGAGATTTGGTAGAAGATTTGAAGGCGGCCTAATGCTCTAATTAAGCATGCACGCGTTTTAGAGAATTAGAGAGTGGTCGGCTCTCTTTGCGGTTAATTTTCGCCGCTTATTAACTCAATGTGCTGTTTTTTACTTACGCTAGAAAGTTAGAAACTGAAACTCTTATCTTTTCTAATGTGAAATGTTTTAATATCGTTTGTGCTAAGTTATGTTTTTCAGATCACTATTCATTGTCTATGGAAAGAACGTAATGGTTGTCGTCATGTAGAGCCACATGGTCCCAAAACTCATCAAGCTAATTGATAAGAACGTTTATAACCCGCTAAGTACAATAAGATAATTGATAAGGGCGTTCATAAGACATCATTAACGATGATATCTTAGAAATAATATTTGCATAAGAAAATATCTTATATAAAATATTATTTATGGTTAATAATGTCCTAATCCGTTAAGAGTATCTTCATTGTTAGTATATTATGAGGTAAGATCCTTTAAAATTTGCAAAGGAAATAATAGTATTTGCACATAACCTTAGGAGATCTTATCTTTTAAGATACTAGCAATAGCAATAAGGATGGTGTAAACACAATGACGAGTTCACCGGTCTATGAAAGTGATTTATACTACTAGTTCCATGCTCATAGTCACTAGTTTTTTTACCTATAAAAAACAGTGTAAGCATGAAGCCGCCTAAAGTACACTAGATAATCACAAATCATAAATAGTTTATTAAGTGCTTCATTTAGGTGGGAAAATGATCACATGTTGCTTCTTATAGGGTTTGGTTTTAGCCTCGGGTTAAGAGGTAACCAGCTGTTAAAAGATGTACTAATTATCATAATGTGGAAACTGTCCTTTTTTCTAAAAGTATGTTTGAAGACTAGACTTAATTGTTGTCAAATATAAACAGCGGTACGGATTTGAACCTGAGATTTGTTTTCGACTCCATTGACCATCTTTCTCAGGTTTATGTCTACCTTTCTCTTGTCTTTCTTGGAGTATGGTTCTTTCTAAAGGAAATAAAAGAAAAATGCGTAAACGGCGGATGTCTTAATTACGTGGATTAGTATTATAATTTCTCTTGTCGGGACGAGTAAAAATGCTGTGACGGTGAGATAAGCTATGTTTTGTATAACATAAGGAAAGATATAATTTGTAGTATTACATTATTATTCACTAAGTAATACGTACTAGTTTCATGTTAGTTTTTGATTTAGTAAAAGTTTAATTGACGTGGTTCAAACTCATGTGTTTAAAAAAGTGTAAGCATTGTTGTTACTAAGTTATCTATTTGACGTGAGATTTCAGATCATATATGAAATATTTGATTATTGTTTTTATGTAAGCATAGAACTTTGGAGTATTTGATGATTAATTTTTAGTTTCGCATGAGAAGTTTCTACGTGTCTTTTATGTGATCTACAACAAAGAGTGAGGCATGTGGATGATCTGTTGCGTAAAATTCACATGATCAGTTTTTGGGATTTCAATGATCTCTGAGTCGGCAAATCTTGTTATCTTGGGAGGCTTTGTCTTCTTCTTTATGTTTTTCTTCTTCTTTCTTCTTTTGAGTCGGTAGTCTGGTATCCTACAGAACTTCAGAGCATGGACAAAAGATAACATTTGAAATGGTATGACAGATAAAAAAACTATAGATATCTTGGCATAAATAATTGGAAAACATTATCCATAAATAATATGAATAAGAATACATATCCATAAAATAAAATTAAATAATAATAAATATGTCATAAATAAAACAAGAACTACATGCAAATGATTTACAAATAACCGAAACAGTTTAATTAGGTTTACTATCTTCTTCTTACTGATCTTCACACTAATTGACTTCATTTCTTTTCATTTTAAGACTATTTAAAAATATATTACACTAGAGATGGACTAAATAATAGATAGCACATATATGTGTTTTGTTATTTGTGTTGTGAATATTGTTAGGTTAGGCCAAGTTTTCATATATGTATATATGACGGTAATTATATTTAAGAACTGCAAAAATTGTGTATTAATAATTTATATGTCATTCGTGAAATCAGCATGTTATATTAGCTAAAAGTTCAATGCATTAGAAGTTTGTTTATAATTCATTTCTTACAATTAAATGACTGCTTTTGAATTAAGAAATAATAATAACACTAGTATTTAGGTCCATTCGAGGTTTAATTTGTTTCACACTATTTATTTCGAAATGTATCTTGCACTTTCTGTTAGTTTGGATAACTTTTGGATTTTTCATCATAAATGAATTCCTTATATTTACAACCATGTATTTCCTTTCAATACATAATATTTTATTACATTATTATTCAAATTTTCAATAGAACACCAACTTAAATTTAAAAAGTATTCATCAAACCACTAATTAATACAGTTTTGTGAGCATTTATTAATTTCTTATATTTTCACCACAACATTTTCTCTAAAACACTATAAAAGTAAACTTATTAGAAATCTGATCACCAATAATCAGACCTATTAAACCCGAAAGACTGGCCTCGTCGTCCAATTAAACTAGTTGATCTCAAAGCAGTACACGTAAATAAGAATTTTTATATGAACTCCATAAACTCGAATCCCTCATTAGATACGAATACAATTTTTTAAACCTTTTTTGATCAAAACGTGGTATACGTTTAAGACCACCTTTGTGTCAAATACTAAAATAAAACACCATTGCTCCTTTTTAGTATGTTCCACCCGAATAGAGGCCAAGAAGCCAAGAACATGGACATACACACAAATAGTCATCAAATTTGATCATTACTATATAGCCACTATGCCGTATCAAATTTTTTATAAAAATTTTCATCAAATTAAAAAGATAAAATTTTGATTTTTAATTAACCTAATAAATCCATTAATTTCCGCACGTGGAACCCACTTGGTGTACTTCCACGTCCACTGACCCACTCATCAAATCGACGCATCTTTATAAGCTCCCTTCATCGTCACACACTTCTCTCAAAATATTATTCCATATTCTTCTGATTTTCTCTATTATTTCACTTCAAATCATTAGATTCTTACACAACACAACAACGAACTAGCTCCCAAGCATAAGCTTTATCTTCTTTTAGCTTTGTCTTTGGCACCTTTCTCTCTCGATATCTCTCTCTGTCTATATATATAATGCAAATGACTGAGAGAGGCCGAGCCATGTGGCGCACGTGCCTAGCCTCAGCGTTCAGAACAGCTCTAGCTTGCACTTTCGTTGGCGCAGCTACACTCTACGGCCCCGAATGGATCAACCGCCACGTAGCATTCCCGGCCTTCTCTTACGTCACGGTTATCCTCATCATCACCGACGCTACACTCGGAGACACGCTACGTGGCTGCTGGCTAGCTCTTTACGCCACGTGTCAGAGCGTTGGCCCTGCGATCGTCACGTTGAAGCTTATAGGACCAGCTCGTCTCACGGCCGAAACCACTGCTCTCGCCGCGGCTCTAGCTGCGTTCGTGGTGGTTCTGCCTAATAGTTCGACCCACTTGGTGGCTAAGAGAATCGCTTTAGGCCAAATCGTTCTCATTTATGTTATTGGTTATATTAAAGGAGCTGAGACTGATCCGGTCATGCACCCTCTCCGAGTCGCGGCTAGTACCGCGCTTGGTGTTTTAGCTTGCGTTCTTGCACTTCTCCTCCCACTTCCTCGCTTGGCTACTTGTGAGGTAACAAATATCTCAACTTGTCTTATTCATGTATATGTTCTCACATGTAACTCTCTACGTACTTAGTAGAATAGTAGTAGAACTATAGTCTTTATCATTTCAAACACTAACTTATGTGTTTGTATTTGCATGTGAAAACAAAACTAGCTATGTGTATATTTTCACGATTTAGAAAAATATATAATTAGTATGGTTAAGATTTTTCAAGATTTTGTCGACCTATATACGTGTTCGAATTAGATTTGATGAAACAAACGAAGGAAGGAGAAAATTAATAGATATAATTATAGCATGTCATATAATATTAGTGGACTTGCTTGTACAGTCAAGAAACATGTTGACGTGGGTATTAAAGTGTGTTGCTAACTTTATTCCGTACTACATTATTATATACGACTAATCTTCCTTATGTCAGCAACCACCGATGAAAATTTTGTCTTAATTCTTCCCAATATTGCGAACAAGCTGTGTCGCATCACAGACAAATATGATTCCCTTTTTGATTAATTTATATAATCCCAAAGTTACATATATACTTCTTCGTGTATAGTACTAAACCAAATGGCAATGGCATGGGATTCTCCCTAATAATGTTAAGATAAAAATTAAATTGAAAACTAATATTTAACATTAAATATGTATAGGTGAAACAAAGCTGCAAAGAGGTTGGTCAAAATGTAACGACGAGAGTGAAGTTGTACATGAAGGCTTTTTGCACCGAGGATGCTATGTCAGCAACGGCGTCAGTCTCACAGGCTAGAGTGTTGGCTCGTTCTTCCTCCAAGCTTTATCAAAAACTCAAACGTTACGAAGTAATTATCTATTTCGCATACTATTTTAATTTTTTTGGTATAAATGCATGTACAATATATCTAATATATATGGGAACATTTATGTGTGTATAGCCAAGCATGACATGGGAGAGGCTACCGTTTAAGATATGGAGGTGGCAAAACGTGAATGATAACAAAGGAGAGAAACTACAGAGCATGGAGATTGCTCTTAGAGGAATGGAAATGGTAGTAGCAAGCAAATCTCCTATTCCTTCGAGTTTACTTGAGGGTGAAGTCAAAGAAGATCTCAAGAATATACAAGAACGTGTGATTCTTTCAATCAAACGAGTAAACAATAGTCCGCAACCATCGGTAACACCAGAATCCGATACAGAAAAATCAGATGAGTGCCTCCAAACACTTCAGGAGATCCCGGGAACGCCTCAAGATTTGCCGTTTTACTTCTTCTTGTTCTGCCTCAGGCTCCTTGAAACCATCATAATAGCTAAACCGGAGGAGAACAAAGTCAAGGTCTTAGAAAAATCCAAAACGAAGTTTTGGTTAAGTGATTGGGACAGCAAGAAGGTTATGCCAGCGTTGAAGCTTTCGCTTTCGTTAGGTTTAGCGATTTTGCTAGGTTCAATATTTAGTAAGCCAAACGGATATTGGGCTGGTTTACCAGTAGCTGTCAGCTTCGCAGCGGCAAGAGAGGCAACGTTTAAAGTGGCGAACGTGAAGGCACAAGGGACAGTGATAGGAACAGTGTATGGAGTGATGGGTTGTTTTGTCTTTCAGAAGTTTTTGCCAGTTAGGTTTCTATCTTTGCTTCCATGGTTTCTCTTCTCTAGCTTCTTGAGCAGGAGCAAGATGTACGGACAGGCCGGAGGGATATCGGCGGCTATAGGAGCCGTTTTGATCCTCGGAAGAAAGAATTTTGGGCCACCAAGCGAGTTCGCGATTGAGAGAATCATCGAGACTTTTATTGGGTTGTCTTGTTCGATCATGGTGGAGCTTGTCTTTCAACCAACAAGAGCCGCTAACATAGCTAAACTTGAGCTCTCTAGAAGCTTCCACGCTTTGTACGAGTGTGCAAGCTTGTTTGGAGCTAAAGCGAGTAAAGCAGAGATAATGGAGAGTCAAAAGAAGTTGAGAAGTCACTTAAATGAGCTCAAGAAGTTCACGGCAGAAGCCCATGCAGAGCCAAGTTTCTGGTTTTCGCCTTTCAACTTCTCTTGCTACGAGAAGCTGTTCAAGTCACTATCAAAAATGGCTGATTTATTGCAATTCAGCGGTTACGCCATAGGCTTTCTTGGAGAACAAGGAAAAGATAAATCACCTCAGTGCAAGGAGATTCTAAGCACCGTAGACAAAGATCTCAAGAGTCTAACAGGGAGCATAGGTCTTCTAGCAAAATCATACGAGGAGATCACACTCCTCAAATCACTCGACGCCCTCGAACAAGCCCTAGCCAAGAGCGACAACACCTCATGGGACATTGAGCTAGGGAAGACACCAAACCCTAGCTTCTCAACAGCCGTGAGCGAGCCGGAGAAGATTTTAGAGACATATCTCCAGCATTGCAGAAGCGTGGCTGAAGGAATATTCCGTGTGGAAGAAGGAGAAGGAGACGAGGTTAAAGTGGACAAGAGTGAGGTCGTGTTGAGTTTGAGCGCATTAGGGTTTTGTGTGGAGAGGATTGGGAAAGAGACAAGAGAGATTGAGGAAATGGTTAAAGAGGTTGTTCAATCAGAGAACCCTTCAAGCCATGTTAACTTGCATGAGATCTCTTGCAAAATACGTTCTTTGTACAAATGATGATGCTTTGTATCTCTTCTCATTGATAAACAACAATGACGTGTGAAAGAAGGAAACGTTTGTTTTTGTGTTTACCTTTCTCTCTTTTCTGTAAAAATAAGGCTTTGTGGTTTAACCGGTTTATACCAATACCAACAATAACAAATTAAATACCAATTGTGTGAAGTGGGAAGGCGTTAAAAAGTCCCTACAAAAAGTACAAAGGTTTTCTTCTGTAATATTATATTTTCTTGGGCCTATTTGAGTAAGCCCATTAAGGCCTTTTAAAGATTTCGAAATATTATGAAAAAATATAATAAAGTGTGGCTGCTGGGATTCGAGCCCAGGTCTCCACGGCCACAACGTGGAATTCTTACCACTAAAGAATTCCACTAAACTACAGCCACTTTTTGTTTTAATTCGCTAGTTTCTATTATTTATTACAGTAATCAAATTTTTAGTCAACAAAATTGAGTCGACAGCAATTAATCAGAAACGAGAAGGACAAGTGGGCTACTGGTTCTCACCTCTGCTGCCTTCTCACCAGATTCGGGTTCGAGTCCGGTCCCTGTCAAAGAGAGACGTATAATTTGTAATAATGACAAAAAAAAGAAGCAATTAATCAGAAACTTCAACACTTTAATTAGATAATTAATTTTAGGTTTGTATCGGATTTTAAATATACGCATTCTATTATGCAGAAAATTTTATTTATCCACTTCATCGTAAAACTAGATTTTTAATTTCCGTACTCCATCTTAATAAATAATAGATTAAAATTTATACCAAAAATAAGATATGCATCATATCCCACATATATCTTAGTTAGTACTAAAAATAATTTAAGATTTTAACTAAATATAAATATATAATTAGTATAAACAAATTTAATTTAGAGATTGTATGAAAATGATAATATTTAATTTGTTGGGTATTAAATTACGTGTTTTATTAATATATGGGTATGATTGTTTCAAACAAAAAAAATAATGTATTAAACGTCCAAATTAAAATTAAGTGAAGTATTTTGAAGGTTTTTTTTTTCTTTTTTAATATAAAGGATATGATGCAAATAACAACAATGTTTCCTACTGCGCATGTCTCACGTAAACTCTACTTATCCTATTTTTTATTTATATAATTAATATCCTATTATCCTTAGCTTAATGACTTTAATAATCATACAAGTTTAATTTTAATCTCGTCGCAAATCTCGAAATTTAAGATCCATTAAATGCTTTAATCTTTAGTCAAAACTTGGAGTCGATAATAGTGAAAAGTCAAACTCTTCTTGAGTCTTTGTTTTCTCTCTTCTCTCTTTCTTAATATAACAAATGTTCTGAGTTTATTTTTTTATATTGAAAACTTCATTCGTAAGCGACGTTTGGTGACCAAATTAGAATTGGGTTTGGTGAAGTTCGTCGTGTCTCACTTTTCGTTCTTTTGAAGCTTCAATATTTCTGGTAGGGATCTTTTTTTTTTCTTTTCTTTTTCATTCCACGAGTTTATTTTATTTTTGTGTTGACGTAGTTAACAAATTTTGGTAGGACTCATCTTCTTGTTTCATCATATGATTTTTATATCTAAGTTTACATGCGTATAAATATTGAATCTTTGTTATGTCATCAAGATCATAAGAGTTTATAGTAGTTTTCGTTATATACCAAGCTTCTCACTACCTCACCAGGTTGTTATAAGTTCTCTAATCGGTGTGATTATGTATGTGAATCTACATGTTTATTCTCATGATGAATATGTAAAATCTAGTTTATTAATTTTGATTCTACTTTGTTAGAAATGGCGATGAGTTCTTCCAACGGGACGACGACGACGACGACAAAGCCACCACCGATGCCTTCTCCTCTGCGTAACTCCAAGTTTTTTCAGGTCAGTTCTATTCTCTAAACTTAACAGCTAGTTAAAAGTTGTAGTTATGCAAGTCAAAGTGAAAAAAAAGTTGAGATTCATTGTGTTAGATCTCAATCTCACCTAAAAAGACTTTGATAGTTGAATTTTCTTTGACATTGATTTTATTTTATATGGTCAACAACATGCTCTATGTGGTTCTGAACCCGGTGTAGTAAATAGTAATGCAATTGAATTCTTGAATAATTTTTGGGAATGCAGTCGAATATGCGGATTTTGGTAACTGGAGGAGCTGGATTCATTGGTTCACATCTCGTTGATAGATTGATGCAAAACGAAAAGAACGAAGTTATCGTTGCGGATAATTACTTCACAGGATCAAAAGACAATCTCAAGAAATGGATTGGTCATCCAAGATTTGAGCTCATTCGTCATGGTATATATCTATCTTTTTGAAATCTTGATTAGTCAAACTTAATTTATACTCATAATCCAAAACATTAGTAACTTTAATATCAAAAAATCTTTCAGATGTGACAGAGCCTTTGTTAGTAGAGGTTGATCAAATCTACCATTTAGCTTGTCCTGCTTCTCCAATTTTCTACAAACACAACCCTGTTAAGGTTTGTTAAATTTCGTTAACCAAATTCCGCTATAATGATGATATAATGTGATCATATCTTCCATCTTTATATGGCAGACGATAAAAACAAATGTGATTGGCACACTTAACATGTTAGGACTAGCTAAGCGAGTTGGAGCTAGAATTTTGCTTACTTCAACATCTGAAGTTTATGGTGATCCTTTGGTTCATCCTCAACCTGAGAGCTATTGGGGAAATGTAAACCCGATCGGTAAGTCATTTATAACCGAGTACTTGTAATCAATCTCGGCTATAAACTAAACTAATGAACTAACACATCAATGGGTATGTTGTTGCACATTATAAGGTGTTAGAAGCTGTTATGATGAAGGGAAACGTGTGGCAGAGACTCTTATGTTTGATTACCATAGGCAACATGGGATTGGTAAACTAATCACTCTTTTACCATTTCCTTGGAAACTTGGATCTAGTCTTATTAGCTGATTTGTTGTTATTGTTTATGGGGACAATGTAGAAATACGCATTGCAAGAATATTCAACACATATGGTCCTCGTATGAACATAGATGATGGTCGTGTCGTTAGCAACTTCATTGCTCAGGCTCTCAGGTGAGAGTGAGACTAACCTCAAGTTCTTGAGTCTTACCTTTTTCTATATTGAGTTGAATCTTAGACTATTGGTTTTGGTTGTTTGCAGGGGAGAAGCTCTAACTGTTCAGAAACCGGGAACACAAACCCGCAGCTTCTGTTATGTTTCAGACATGGTATGCATGTCCATACTATATAGCAAATCATTATCTTTATCATTCTTTTACAATATTTTGATTGATAACACCGCAAAATTTATTGAAACTTTGGTTTTGTAGGTGGACGGTCTAATGCGTCTGATGGAAGGAGACCAAACCGGACCAATCAACATAGGCAATCCAGGTGAATTCACCATGGTTGAACTCGCTGAGACGGTTAAAGAGGTTAGTCAGCAATGTCATTTTTGTAATACCATTTCACATAAATGTGGATATTATAGCTAGTTATTGTGTAACAAATAAGTAATGTATACTAATGAGAATCGATACAGCTTATTAAACCGGACATCGAGATAAAGATGGTAGAGAACACACCAGATGATCCAAAGCAGAGGAAACCAGACATAAGCAAAGCTAAAGAAGTTCTTGGTTGGGAACCAAAAGTGAAGCTACGTGAAGGACTTCCTCTTATGGAAGAAGATTTTCGTCTAAGGCTTGGTGTTTCAAAGAAGTGATACTTATTTCACCAAGAAGACAAAACATTGTGTGTGTTTTATATTCATGGAATTGTATATTTCTTGTTTTTTTTTTTTTTTTTTCTTAATTCTCTTTTTTCTTTTTTTTTACACCGGTGATTATAAGCCTAATCACATATTAATCCCCGAAGCTCGTTGATCGTGTGTTTTGATCTTTCTGTTTTGCATTTTGAGTTTGTAGCTAATAAGCTTCCTAACGAGGAACTTTTTAAGGAGTGATGTTACTACTTGGATTTTGTTATGAGAATGACATTTTTAAGAGAACACTCCAACAAAACTAGAGTCTCTCCTCTTCTTCATCTCAAGGTCTTAAGTTAAGTCTTAACACATGGTAGTAGGTAGCAAAATACTAATTTTTTTTAATATAGAACTATATATATACTACTTAATCAGAGATTCGTTCAACAAATCCGCGGTAGCACACAGGTTAATTTCAAATGATGAAATCCGGGTTCAAACCCCGGCCGCGGAACACTTCTTTTTTCTTTCTTCCTAGTGGTAAAGGACATTTCTAATATATAACATTTTTTTTAAATTAAAATCAATATGCTTGTGATCTAACTATCTAAGTTGACTTTTAAGATGAAACTATTAGGAGAAGGGGAAAGTTTTGTTCGATCTTTGATGAGTTTTGACTTGAATGAGATTCATGAAGGAATATCTTGGCTGCAAGTTTTTTAGCTTCAAGATTTGTGCTTCAAGTTACGATATAAAGCTAATACCAAGACTGTGCTTATCATTTTGTATATCTAAACTTGCTAAGACTTGTATGACGAATACTTATGGTATTGGTTTGAAGATTAAATCAAGAACACAAGTTTTGTGAGTTTTTCAAGATCGATGTGATCCAAGAACAACACCTTGCAAAAAGAGAAAAACAAGAAGAATGAAAGAGAAGATATATCAGAGCTTTTGAGCTCTAAGACATTGTAACAATTCCTTTCTTCAGTTAGAATAAGAATCTTCACCACCTGAAAAAACAACATTGTTTGCTTCTAGCTAAATCACACCATCCTTAAGTTTTGGAAGTACTGTTTAAATGCTTCAAACCAGTAACACTCCAACAAAACTAGAGCATCTTCTCTTCTTAATGTTAAGAAAACACTAATTTTTTTCTCTATGTAGTATACTAATTGATTAGAGATATGTTCAACCGATCCGCTGTAGCACAAAGGTTAATTTCAAATGATGAAATCCGGGTTCAAACCCCGGCAGCGGAATACTTTTCCTCTTTTATAGTCAGGTACAATGTCACATCAGACATATCAGACATATAAAATGATAAAATACCAATTAATTATGTTTATCTAAGTTGACTTTGTAAGTAGTGACCAGTGCAGAATTTTCTTTTATCTTATAATTAGCTTTGTATTGAATAAGATCCATGAAAATATTTACTGCTTGGTAGCTGATTTTAAGTTCTAGTTCATAGTATGAAAATGAAGCTAATACCAAGATTGTGCTTATCTCGTTTGATGATCAATTCAAGAAACATACCCTTTTTACGAGTTTTTTTGTGTGATTTCAAGTACATAACTTTGCAGTTGATCATCAATGGAGTCTCTTGAGTTGTAGAAAAGATAAAGAGTTTAGGAAGAGAAGACAAAGAATCAAGAAGTTATATATACACACAAGAGCTTTGAGCTTAAACTAACCTTATAAAAAAACTCTGTTTCTGTTTAAAAACAGAGCCGAAACCAACTCAAAACGACATCGCTTCATTCTTACAAGATTAGAACACAAATCATCAATAACCGTCCCGGTTTAATTAACTAGTTCAATTAAAACGATGAAAAACATTTAACCGGTCCGGTTCACTCACTGGACGAAAAACAAAAATACACGATCCGCGACTGACTTAATAACCCAATCAAAAACCGTAGATACAATCTAATCAACGGTCAATAGTTCTTTAAAACCTTTCTCGCGAATCGTCATCTTTAACCGTACGATCAAACATGAAAACGAACGGTCAGGATTCATTTTTCTGAATCCATCATCTTCTTTATAAACCCATCATCTTCTTCTCTCTCTGCAACAAAACAAAAACTTAAAAAGTCCCAAAGAAAGAAAAAAAATGTCAGGAAGAGGAAAAGGAGGGAAAGGGTTAGGCAAAGGAGGAGCGAAGAGACACAGGAAAGTTCTAAGAGACAACATCCAAGGAATCACAAAGCCAGCGATACGTCGTCTAGCTCGAAGAGGAGGAGTGAAACGTATCAGTGGTCTGATCTACGAAGAAACGAGAGGTGTGTTGAAGATCTTTCTCGAGAATGTGATTAGAGATGCTGTGACGTACACTGAACACGCTAGGAGGAAGACTGTTACTGCCATGGACGTTGTTTATGCTTTGAAGAGACAAGGAAGAACTCTTTATGGATTCGGTGGTTGAGTTTTTTTAATTAAATTTCTGGGTTTTTGTTGTTGTTGTTGATGATTATGTGTTTTTAAGTCTTGCTGTCAAGAAATTTCGGAAATTGGGATGAAGTTTTTAGGGGTTGTAATTAGGGTTTGGGTAATTGCTAGTGGATGTAATGAAGTTCTCATTTGGTTAATGATAGTATCAATTTGCTCTAAACTAATCCTAATTACTTCCAAAAATTCATGATGATTAGGGTGAAAGATCATCGATTGGTTTGAGTGAATCTCACAAGAACAGTATTACAATTTTATAAAATTGAATTGGGTTTTGGAAGATTAAAAATCAAATTATGGACTAATGTGAGCATTTCAAAAGTTGTGGACTAGATTTAAATTAATGATAGTATCAGTTGCTCTAATTAGTCTAAACTAATCTACGTTAGTCTTACATTACAACTCTTAATTCATCTAAATATCTACATTATAAAGCATTGGGCTTTTGAAGATTGAAAACAAATATGGACTAAATGTGAACATTTAAGAGTTTGCAGATTAAAAGATAAGACTCATAAACCTTGTGGGCTAAATTTATCTATTTTACCCAAAAGATTGAAACAACCAACACACAAAATGAGTCACTATAACTAGCCACGTCAGCGATCCTGGGCATACTCTTTTTAATGAAAGATTCACCGTCAGATCAAATATAAGCAACGGTCACGATACAGATTCTAACAGATAAAATAATGAAAAAGATAAAGGGCCCTACCGGATTCGAACCGGTGACCTATTGATCTGCAGTCAATTGCTCTACCACTGAGCTAAGGACCCTTTGTTGCTGTATCACTAAAATTACAGATATATAATCTTATTAAAATATTACAAAAACGTTATTAAAATTTATTAGTATTATTTGTTTAATTACAAAAACGTTACTATGAAAATTAATACAATCCATTAAAATACTGGGAAGTGGGAACGATCTAATCTAACATTGTTCTTGTTCCATTTCTACAACACCTTCGATACCAAGACATGACCGTAACAAAGAGACAGAAGCAACAACCATGACTCCTGCGAATATGGTCGGAACAAAAACATCAAAAGTCGATTTCTTCACCATTTCAGACGGTACCATCACCATTTCATCTTCCATAGGAATCTTCACAAACCCATCTGAAGATGATATTTGAGACACGAACGCCATCTCCGGAGCGAATGAAGCCAAAGCCACCGTGAACGTTAGGAGTATTGTCCATGTTGCTGCTTGTACAAGAACTGGCCAACGCTCTGAGACTTTCTCAAGAATTGGTTCCATTGTAAGAATAACAAAAAAAGATTTGAGGGTTATGTTAAAAAAAAAGGATTTGAGTTTAGGTTTGAGATTATACAAATGGTGAGGAGAGTCGAGAGGAAGAGTGGGAGAGAGGGCGCTTACACGTTTTCACGTAACTCTATTAGAAAATTACGAGTTTGCCATTTTTGTTGTTAATCTTGAATTAATATAAATTAAATTAATTAGGTTTGTGGTGTTTGAATAAAAATTGTTAGTGACCGAGTTTAATGATTAATCCACCTAACTAAACGAGAGAGAAATGTCCACCGTGAACTAAGTGTCACTAATGATAGGATTAGAGAAGAGGTCAATGAAGGGTTGAGAATGAGTCATGAGATTTTAACAATGATGATGAGTGTGTAACATTTTAGGATATTTTAAGTAGTGTTGTAAAGTTTGTGGTTTTGACTAAATCCTATGAGTATGTGGCAGTAATAAACAGGTTAGTGATATACCAACACTACTTTATTTTTTGTTTTTCATAGAAAAAAAAAAACAGTATAAAATCTAAATAAACCATAATTCAATTAAACTCTTCGACCAAAAGGAAAATTAACAAAACAAACTCAAATTTAAATTTGGTTGTCATTTTTTAAAAACCAATCTTACCACACGTCACCCATTGACAACTTCTAACTGTACTTGCTTAAAGTTACGTTACTTAAATTTTGTTTCACAAGTGAGGTTAATCATAATTAAGTTTTAGAAGTGGGACTAATGCTAATGTGCTCGTTGGACTTTCTAAGTATATGAATTCAAGGGGATATTATTTAATAATTCTATATTAATGGAATTTGATGAATTTCGAAATCAGTTGTTGTTATTATATTAAAATTACAATAAATCTAATATTATTGGATTATGCATTTGATTGGTGTATTCTAAAATATATGTTTAAAATAACTGTTATTCAATATTCATTTGATTTTTGTATTACTTTGGATTTTAATGTATTTTTTAACTACTGAAACATGAACCACAAAATATACAAGTTTTTTCTCAAGTATTTCATCTATATGACTATATCTCATAACTGATAAAGAGATTAATCGAAGAAATAGAACCAGATAACATAATTTCTTCTTAAGGAGGTCAAGTCATCTTAGACCTCTCCCTGGCTATGTAAGGAGCTTTCATTTAGAAAATGAGAGTTTGTATATATTATATAGCAAAAATTTCATTCAGTAATAATTACCATCCATATACACTCAAACTTCTTGTAGAACTTTTTAAAAAATCGACACATTGATAATCTACTTCAAAAGAAACATTCATTCCATAACATTCTTCAACAAATTACATCCAAAACCATAAACTCATCAGATTAAATACAAAACCAAACCAAGATCATAACCCTAAACCCAAAAAAAACTAACTAACTAAACTACCCAAATCTAAGAGCTATTAAACTTAATTAGTAACAGCCTTGGTTCCCTTATAAACAGCATGATTAGCAAGTTCACCATGTAACACAAGTCTAAAAGCTGTCTGCAACTTCCATTGGTTTCTTATTATGCCTAGCCAACTTCGACGCTTTTTGCGCAAGTTTCTTGAATATACCGTCTTCTTGATCTTGTTTCTTCTTCCTGTGACTGAGGCTTCTTTAGGTTTTCTTCTATACTGGTGCTTGCTCTGCTTCTGCTTCTGCAGCAACGGGAAGCTTCCTCTGACGAGGAGTAATGACGTGGAGACTTTATATTCGTTGGATTGAAAAGGTGTTGATAACTTAAGTGTTTTTCTTCTTTGTAGAGAAGAATTAGAATTGCTGATGTAAATTAAGCGGTTAAAATAGTCTATTTTTTTAAAAAACAATAACATAAATAAATCAAATATAGATAAAACTTCAAAATAATCATTAAAAAGTATTTTGGTTTTTTCTCAGAAATTTAAGAATAAAACAAATTAATAAAAAAAAGTTCCAAGTATTGAGCAAAGTGATGCAAACATCTTATCTTTTGGGTGGTCGGCAACCGTCTAAATTTCTCTTCTAATTGCTTCTTCGAACCACTTATTCCAACCACATATATTCTAATCACTTCTAACTTATAAGGTGGTTTGTTTGTAAAAGAGGTACCAATCAATTTTATTAAGGTGATGTAAAATGCTAACGATTCATTAATATTAATAGTGATAGAAATTGAAACAATTTGACAATATTAAGTAAGTTGTGAAGGATATACGAAGAAAGTTAGTTGAGTTTGTATAGATAGAAGAGAGATGAACTAAATCAAAGTGTTAAGATTTGTCTCATTAACTCAAAGTTTGACATTAATATAGGATTATACTAGCTCTGTTGATTATATATATATATATATAATATTCAGAAAAACCATTGAATCATCAAAATATTACCGAAATTAAAAAATTAACACAAAAAGCCAAAGTCTAATTCTACTTGCATATACACATTTATCAGTAACAAACCTTAATTAGAGGACATAGATCTATGTAATAACTAAGCAAGTTTCTTAAGTCCACAAAGTTCAAGTTGCTTTGCAAGGACCATACCACCAACACAGCCATTTGACATCTGACTAATTTACAGTGAATTGACTCAACGATAAAGCATTTCATTAGGTTGATCTCTTGGGCCTAATCCTAGTCTCGTCGACCATGACTTTGCTTCTAATAAAACTCTGAATTGACAAATCCTTACTCCTTACTTCCTCTATTCAGTTCTTTGAAGTCCATGTAATAATTAAACGTCCTTTTTTTTTTTGTTGTTTTTATATATGTTGTTTCTTCATGAAATTTATTTTCAGTCTCTACAACTTTTTTTGGAACTTTTGGATTTGTTGAATACTACTAGCTAGTGGAGGCTTTTGTGAATTTCTCAGAATCACTAGTTCAACAAATAGTTGACCTTTTTACTAACTTGATCCCTTGTAAATTAATTAATTTAGCCGACGAAACTATACTAATTTATAATAACGAGATAACGACATAAACTCATACATGATATATATATATTTACATCATTACCATCTTCACCAAGAAACCTCAAAAACTCATATATAACAAAATCAAAGCATATCTAGCTAGTTAGATTATATTTCTGAAATCCAGAACTAATTGGATTCCCAAAATCGTTTTGGGAATATATTGCCAAAGAGATAATTGTCTAAATTTTAGTTAATCGTTTCCAACCATTAATTTAGTTGACGAGAGACCACATTATTGTTTCATAGCGACTAAGGTGAAAATGATAGTTCTGAAAATCTGTTGAAGACTATTCAGTTTAAAAAATCTATATTGGACCGGACACAAATATGAAAAATTATAGTCATCTCTCATTATCAATTCTCTTTACAAATCTCCAAAATCTTTTTTTTTTCTTTTCCTATCAGTTTGGGCTTTAAGAGGAAAACATGTTTAGAAATATATATAATTTGTGTTTGGGGAACAATCTGTTTGAAAAGTAATTATATGGGACCAACAATTACATAATGCAATTTATATTATATATATATATTTTAATTGGATTTGTTTTTGATGATAACTTATTATTATTTGTAGTCCACAAGCCAATTAATCAGTCGTATATTGTATTACTCATATAGTTTTTTTTTAATTAAAGGAATTAATAAAGTAACTCAAAATATAATATGATTATGCAAATTAAAAAAGTAAAAAAACATAGTTTAAATGTCATTTATGACTGTATATACAGTATATATATACACACATTTTAGTGCATGCAAACTAGATATATTACCTTTAACTCTAAGATTATATTAATGTAGTATAACTTTTTATTTAAAAAGAAATACGTTTTGATATCTCTTAAAAATTAATATTTTAGTAAAGTACGTTTGAGGTAAAACATATTTTACGTGATTAATTACGTCAACGTTCCAAACAACATAGCGATGCTTAGGTTGAAACTTGTTTTCTCTACGAAAAATTCTAATATATATAATTTTCCAATTCGTTCAACCATTCAACAAACTAATTAAGCAAGCTATTTGCCCATCACACAAAAAATCCATCCTCATTATATACATAATTGATTAGATCCACAAAGCATAATCAAATCCACCAATGACAATGACAACTAAACTACATGACTATAACCACTAAACTGCATTCACTTGTTTCTTCTTCATATCTTTCGCTACACATATTTATTTTTCTATCACCAACGACTCATTTTAATTGAGATTTAGTTTTTAATTATATGGATATTTTTTTTGTATACTAATTAGTCTTCTTTTTGAACCAAAAAGTCATACAGCTAAAATGTAAACGCATCTCAAAATTTCTAGTAAAATGCCTTTCTTTCTTCGTTACCTTGGCCAATTTGTAACTTAATACTATGGCTTTTGCATGTATTTCTAAGAAAGTATCATGTCATTTAATCTGATAATGCGTAATCTTTATATAACATCGTACGTCACTCACGGAAAACAAAACAGAAAAAAATATTGACATTTTGCATTATGATAATTTTTGTGCCAATTTGAGAAATGTTTTTGGTTATCTATCAAAGAAGCCCTAAATCCAAACCTTAATTATAGTTCCTTAATTAATTATATCTCCACACAATTTAGTCAAATATATCGTTACCTATATAGATCTAGCTAGGACGTTTGCTAATTGTTATATTGGATGCTTTTGTTTGAAATTTGTTTTTATATGAAAATTTCTAGGAAACTATGTACTAACAAAATTGTGTTTCCAAAATTGGTCCAATCATGGCAAAATATTGGATCAGCCATGCCTCTCATCACACATATATTCATAATCATGATCATCATAAATACATAAATCTATAAGGATTATGAAGTGGGTATAGATAATAAGACATTACGTCTACCAAATCTACAAGGATTATGAAGTACTAAAACTACAATTACTTGCTTTATTCTTATCGATGTCTTTAGTTAGCCAGGTACACATAAATGTTTATCACCAACGACTCATTTCAATTAGGTTTATGTGAATATTTTGTTTGTCCATGATCATGAGATAACTTTTGAATTCTACTAATAATCAGAATACGAAGCCTCGAAATTTCTAGTAAGTGTAAGTGATACGTTTCCAAAAGTAATTATGAAGAAGACATTATAAATTTGCACAAAAGAAAAAAGAAGAAGAAAGAAGACATTATAACAAAACTAGATGTACAAAACCAAGATCGATGTCGACTCCTATTTCAATCATGGATTTATTTATATGTGGATAATTTTTTTCCCGTGACCATGACATAACTTTTGAATACTATAATCAGTCTTTTCTGTTAACCAAAGAGTCATATATAGATTCATAGCTAAAACGAAACGAAATCTCGAAATTTCTAGTTAATGACTTTCCTTTTTCGTTACCAAAAGTAATTATGATCAAGACATAAAACCTAGATGTCTAATTACAGAAACATAACAAAACCAAGATGTCTTATACTCCTGTTTATAGACATACACATTTGTCGGATTAGTTTTATCAAGAAACTCTCTAAGCTACTACTAGTTTCATTTGTTTGAGGTGTATTTGGAGTTCAAAACTAATTAACATAGTGTTTTCAGAATTCGGGAAATATACATATCTACGTGAATATACAATATATTTCTTTAGGCTTTCAGTAATCTGACGCTATATATAAAATATAGAGATAAAATATAACTCGATAATATAAGATGTATATATCTATACATAACGGTAATACCATAAAGTTTTTTTTTATACAAAAATTACTGAAAGCCTAAAGAAATAAAAATATCAGATGAAATAAAACTTAACCCTACACATGTATACCCCCCAATAAAAGAAAAAAGAACAAAATTTTAGAAAATCAACCTCCCAAGCTCCAACTTCAAATCTTCATTCTCTAAAGGCGTCAAGTTCAAATCCAAACACAAAACCCTCTTTCCATTACCACCACCAGACTTTTTCATGGTCACCGGAGCAGTAGCCGGAGCCAAACTCCGGCCACCGCCTCCTCCTCCTGCTCCACCTCTATGCTTCCTCATGTGACCACCCAAAGCTTGCCCTACAGCGAACTCAGCACCACATATGGGACACTCGTGTTTCACCGGTTTGACTCTCTTGGGAGAAGGAGGCGCGTGGCCTTCAAGCGCCGCCGATCTCCTGTGGCTTGCTCGGTGTCCTCCCAAGGCTTGGAACGACGGGAACTCTTTGTTGCATGTCTTGCACGCGAAAACGCGGCTTTTGGTGTCGTTTTGATGTTGATTCTTTGATAGAAGAATCAAACAATTTGCCATCTTGTTTATCATCTCCATATCTGATCTCTCCCTTTCCATCTCACAAAAAGAAGAAAATGAAAACTCCACACTTTGTTTTGGTTGAGAGATGAAAAAAAAAATGAATAATGAAACGAAGACTTTGTTGAATAATGTATTTTTTTGATCGTACGTGTTTATTATATAAGCGAAAAAAAACTTAGCTTAGCTTTTTTTGCATTGACTTTTGTGTGTGTTGAAATTCTTGTTTTACCCTTTCCTCTTGCTGAACAAACACCTTTACGTTGACCCTCCACGTTCAATAATAGTTTCGTGTTATTCTATACAAAATTAGAAAAAAAAACAAAACTATGATAACAACTGACTATTCATTTGATTATTGTTTACTAATCATATACTATATCATGTTCAACCGCTAAACAAGACAGATATGTAAACAGAATCTATAAGAACATATATGAGTTAATGCACTTACTTAAGATGATGTATATTTCATTATTGTTTTAGCTTACAAGTCATTTTTTTTATAACTAAACTGATGATCATGTAGATAACCACCCTAACATATTTGCGAATTCGAGTTTCGTCGATCATATAGAAGATAATAGAAACTGAAACTAAGATTTATAGAAATATCAACAAATGAAAGTTTGAAGACATTTAACACAATTTCGCGTATTAGAAATAAGTTTTAAACATAACAAATTCAAGTTCTTTGACCCTAAGTTTATTGCTAAAAGTGATCAGCTTATATAATGTTGGTACCAACCAATTATGATATAATGGTAGAACAACTGCGTTATAATGGTAGAACAATTATGATATAATGGTAGAACAACTGCGTTTGCATCAACACATATTGTTATCATTCATAATCTAACCATTAAGAAAATCAATAAAAATATCTATTGTCAAACAAGTAACTAGCTTTAATTAATATTTCAAACTGGGACTAAAATTATATAGTGGAACATAAATTAAGAAAAAAAATGAAAGATAACACATGGAGTTGGTAGTTGTTCTGGTATCGATCTTTCTTGGAGAAACCATAACCATGCCTTGTAGTTATAAATATATCAAAAGGGCTCAAAGAACTCATTACTTTGATATATCTTAGTCCCAAAACACTAAAAACTCATCTGTTTTCTAAAACCGTAGCTCAAAGACACATCTGGTCGTGATATCTTTAGTTCCAAAAGACTAGAACTCATCTGTGTGTGTTTTGTTTTGTCAAAGATAAGATTATATTAAGAAATGGGTAGTTTGGTAATTGAAGAGCAAGTACGGCAAGACTTTTGGTACGGCAAGTTGCGATTGAGTCACACAAACGTCATCGCATACCAAACCCCAAACGACGACGAGAAGGAAAAAAAAAAGTTCTATACATAGTCGTGAGTCAGACGCTCTAGAGTGTTTTACTATTATATATCCCAAAACCCTTCTTCATCGATCACCCCACTCGCACATTTCACACATACGCGTACCAAACTCTTTTTTACTATTACCAAACTTTTTTTTCCAACTTTTTGTGTAGACATATAAAGATTAGATCATCTCTTCTTTCTTCATTCAACATCACGCATGAAAACTACCTTACGTGTTTATCTTGTATCTTTTTAGGTGTGGAAATTTAATTCTTTTACGACTCGATCTACACTAATATTTTTCTGAGTTCATACTTTAACTATAATCCAAATTCAGATTCATTAACCGATGTCTTAATCCAAAGCGAAATAATTAAAATACTGATTTATACTTTATAGTATACAAGGTCACAAGTGTATGTAGACATAATGAGACACCATATACGTAATATTATTTTTTTCATTTTTCTCTAATATAAAGCTTTTATGGTCTTTTACTAAAAAAAGGATGTCCTAAGATATATATACCAAGAGCTTTCACTTTAGAATATATAAATTGGTCAAGCAAGCAAGATATATATACACAATTTTTTATATGAGTATAAGTGGTTCGATCGATGACTTATTTTTCAAATATATGGCACGTAACTTGGATATATATAAAAATATAACCAACATGCATGGTGGGTCATGTGGTTCATAGATTTATTTTGATGTGTGTTATGAAAGTGCAGAATTGATTTTTTTCTTCTAAGTGACAATAATACAAATCTCTAACTTTATCTTATAATTTTCGAAACTCATAATCTCTAACTTAATCAATATTTGACTTTATGTTCAAAATTGCTAAAATTTAGTAAAATATTTTGTAGTATCTTTATGGAAAAAACTATAAATACATATATGTATATAATGGATTAATAATAACTTACTTTTATTTTTGAGGTAGAGTACAGAAAAAAAATTCGTGTTTTCTCTACTCTACCTAAACTATAAAAACACGAATTATATAAACTCAAAATTTATAATTTTTCTTTTCAAAAGATTCATAATAGAAAATTTTGAGTTTATAGATAACACTATTTTATATTATTTGACTAACATCTAGCTTATTTCCCGGAACCAATTAACAAATCTGTAGGAAACTTAAATTTTGATTTTAAGTCTTTGCTTTGATTTAGATGCGTTTTGGGGTTCAATTTTTCTTCAGTTCTTTTAATTTGACACTAACACACTTTCTTTAATTGCGTGTATCACATGGTTGTTTCTATGCAAGAACCACCACATCTTATAATTTTTTCTGAAGTCTGAAATCTAGTAACCATAAAATAGTAACCGATGAAAAAACATATAAATTTCAACCCAAAAAATCCGTACACTGTATCCGTACGCGCGTGAAGTTGAAGTGTTCATATATGTTTGGAAGATTATATAAAAAAAAAAAAACAAAGTCCATGATCCACGCCACCCTTTCACAAAAAATTAAGTTGAACATTAAAAATAGTTGAAAATCATATGATTTTTTTTAAAATTACGAATACAAATTCTAAGATTCTAGACTGCTTCAACAAATCTTTCTTATTTCTCTCTACGGAGTCTAAAATCATGATTCCTTTAACGCTTAACAATCGTACGATACGTGGATCATTTTGTCTCACATAATTAGATTTGTGTTTAAATGAACTTAGTTGTTTTGACTCTTACCTAGTTCGTTGGTCCATAGTCAAAGAATTAGTGCCGTACGTGTCATTGTTTTTCTTTTTCGGGTTAGTAACATGTCTAATCAAGATTCTCGAGTTGGGTTTCGTTCTGAGGAAGTATAACCAACAAAACCAACTATATTTAACATAGAAGTTGAATCATATAAGATGTACAAAACAAGATGTAAGCCGGAACGGTAAACTTTTAGAAAATAGTATAAAGGTGTAAAAAAGAACGATACATAAAGCAGAGAGTAAAATTTTTGGGTAACGCTTTTGTGATTGGTAAAGATAAAAATGTACAACTTTCTCTTACTTCACTAATCACACCCGATGTTAAAACACAAAAGTGACTAGTGAATCTATCATCTTCTCTGTTAATATTGTTATATGTTCTTGATCTTATTCTCCAGCTGATATAACTTGTTAGGTTTCGTAGACATCGTAAGGTCGAGAACCATGTGTAGACTCTCACCGTTACTTTGGTGTCGTGAATCAACATTTAGGAAGCTTATTGGGCTTGTGTTAACAAGTTCACTGTTTTAGTTGTTCTAGTATCCTTTTGAAAGCATGAAGGGTACGGTATTATTGGGCCAAGCCTAATAAGATTTAATTTAACAACTAAAAAAATCTCAATTTAATTTGTATGATTTTTAGTTTGTTTCAGTGTGTGAGGTGGGAAAAAAAACACCTTAACCAAAAATATCAAACCGGATTGACCATATTAAATGTTGTTTTTGTCTCTTAGTGGTGGAGGTTTGTTTGTAATTAAAACCCTTTTTTTGAATAACCGTTTCGAACGCATTTTTAAAGTGAAAGTTAACTTCACAATTAACACTTGTTATCTCAATAATAAATACATAATTAGTGTAATACATTTAGCTAATTAATAAAATTAACTCAAATTTGGAATACAAATTTTTTATAATTAATTTTAGTTAGCAACTTGACAAATGACAACTAATATGTGGACCTTTTCACTTCAGTATAAAGATATGTCTTGTATCTACATTGTAATGAAAAAAACCACATCTCTTTAGTGTAGTCATGGGAAAAAGAAGTAAACTTAAGCTAGCTTACATATCCAATGATTCAATTCGGAGAACAACACTCAGGCGTAGGGGAGAAGGGTTAAAGAACAAACTCAAGGAGATCAAGACTTTGTGCGGTGTTGATGCATGTGCGGTCATCTACGATCCAGAAAAACCAACTCCAGACGTGTGGCCATCAGAACCAGAGGTGAGCGATGTGATCAAGAGGGTAGATACGGAGACAGCGACGAAAAGGACTATGATGAACCAAAAGGAGTTTCTCAACCAATGTATCGAAAAAGCCAAGAAACAAGAACGTCGAATGGTTGAAGATAACAAGGAGATTCGCCTTAAGGAAGCCATGTTCAAGTGTCTTGAAGGAGGGAAGATGGGAGACCCCGACATGAACAATAAAGATCGTCGTGAATTGTGTGAGTTTGTTGATAAGTATCTTAAGAATATTTATCATCATAGGGATGTAACTCTCAAGAATCCGGATTTCGAAATTGGAGAGTCTTCTTCAAGGGATATGTTGCCATCCTATGTTTCCCCGGTCATGGCACCACCACCTCCTATGGCACAAGTGAGTTCTTTTCCTCCTTTACATAGTGTTGGAACTCATACATGAATATGATTTCGATTATTTTTGTGAGATATACATGAATCATGTATATGATTTGAATTATTTTTTTGTGAAATATACATGAATCATGTTTGTTTGTTGTGGTTATTTCATGTAATTTAAATCATAGGTTACATGAGTTTTATCATATGCTTTAACTCTCATGAACTAACCAAATATTTGCAGACCAACCAAGGAGCAGCTGATGTTGATTTGCAGATAAGTAACAATCAAGAAGTTTACATCCCAGCAGTGAATCAGGTTTGGGTCTTAATTCTCCTACTAATTAACAATTTGTTGCTAGTTTTTAATTTAATTTTTATTACTAGAAAATGTTAATGTAACCATTGGTTTAAAAATCAAGTGTATAGTTGTGATTAATAACTCTCACGCATTAATAATGTTATGCCAATTATGTTTCAGGATGAGTTTCACTATCCAGACCAGAATCATGATGGAACTCAAGACCAAGGATTCATTGAACAGATGATGAAGTATGGTGAGGAAACAAATTTTCCTTGGATGGATCACAAGCAGTTCTAGACAGCATCTATTTGGACGAAGACGACAATGCCAACAATGTTATATCTCTTTCGTCTTTACCGATGATGTTGTTCTCATGACTTCTCTCTCAGTCACAAATCTTTGATTTGTGGTTATGTCTTATATTTTTAGTTTATCCAGTTTAATTATGTAATCTAAACCTCTTCCTATTTCAATTTCTGTACTATATTATATGATGATTTTGCTAATTTCCATATAAAAAGAGTTTCGGGTATGTGTCTTTCTCGGTTCATTGTCATTGTGTTAGGCTTTCCTAACATAGTCAGCCAAATTTACAAGTGTTAGTATGGATATGGTAGTGTTGTATATCTATAAAGATCTTTTCGTATCTATAGTTTTAATCTTCTACATGTTGTGTAGAGATATATGAACCCTTATGTGATTAATAAAGTATCAGTTCACACTTCACAATCACTTTATATGGCATGAGAGCTAATCTGATGCAAAACCCTAAATTTCTTGACGCTTTCCTCTTCTTCTCTTTATTCTTCTTTCTTTCTCTTATGAGAGTGAGCTCGACATTGGTGCAACTTTCCAGTTTGCACATCCGGGGTTTTCACTCTCGAAATGAAGCATTTTGCTCTTGATTATCACTTTGTTCAAGAGCAAGTGCAGAGCAAACAACTTCTTGTCTCTTATGTTAGCTGCAAAAAATCTAACTAGATTTGAAATTAAACAAACGAGAGACTGCAAAGATACTAAAGATAAGATAAAAGACAAATCCCAGGTCAAAGAAATTGATTAAAGAGAAAGAGATACAACTTCCAACAAGTAATAATTCTTAGGCCATAGAACACTAAGCAAGACTAACTCAATTCCATGACACTAATCTCTTTACTAATCAATCATTCATCAACTTCTTCTGAAGACAATCAAATAATCAATAATATAAACAAATATATATAGTCACTAATAAACCTCGTCAGCTATTTCTAAGGGTAATAGATGAAAATCACTTAAAGGTTTTGGTCCGGGAATTTCATCGAACAC